GCCCATCAGCTTGGCGAGGTAATTCATATCTTCGCGCACTCCTCCTCCGTACGATACCTAACAGAAAAATACCTAGCCCAGGGATCGAACCCGCGACCTATCGCTTACGTGTAGCGCCCGTTAACGCGCCTCGCTGTCGAAGCTCGTCCAACACGGATGCTCCCATAACACTCGGTGTGCTACCCTCCACCACAGCATCCAACAACTTGGGATATCTAAACAATGAGAGTCAACCTGATTCTGTGAAGCGGCAATCCGGAACGGAAAAACTTTAACCATTTCATATTGTAAACACATGCATAAAAATCCAATTCCCGTCCATGCTTCGCTCCGCCCTTAAAACCCTCTTCAAAATTCATAGGAGCATTCATCTATGATCGCCCGCTTTATACCCAGTCCCATTGTTATTACTCGAATCGCCTCAATAGGACCTCCAAGTGAGAGTGTCTCACTTTAGCTGTTTGTGTGAAGTACTGTACACCACCTGACGGGGACACCCCGACCGACCCCACTGCTCGCATTGGTCGTAGTAGACTCGAACCTAAGGAAAGAAACTACCTTCACACGGACATAACAACTCCCCTACTACCCTCAGCAGCATCATCAACCTCCCCGTCCCGAGGCCGCCTGCGACGCGAGATGAGAGACCCGTCATCGAGGCACACAACCATAGACAGGCCCTGCCCACCCGACCATGCGATATCAGTGATACCATGACCTTGATATTTATACCTAAACACACTACTCATACCACTCCTCCGCCACTTCCCGTCCCATTCTCACGTATGGAGGAGCTTCCACCCCTTCCCCTGCTCCTCCTCCTCGTCGTTGTCATCACCCAGCCCCGCCGTATCCCACACCTTGACAGTGCCATCTAGACTGCCAGTGACGACATCCCCCTTCGCATTCACGCACATGCCCGTCACCGCCTTGCTATGCCCAAGTGGACTCTGCCAAACACATACTCACAGTATGCACAATGTCAACCACATGTGTTGGTAACAGTATGAAAGCTGAGGAAATTTTGGAAAAT